CATTCATTTCGCGGTTTCTTTCCTTCCGCGAAAAACTGAAAAAAGTAGTTTCTTTTTTTTTTAATTATAAACGTTGGATTCTCGCGGGTACTCGCCAGTACTCGTTCGACAGGACGTCACATCCCGTGGGACTCGCGTGCCGCGAACATCGCGACTCGGATTTTTCTTACGGCGAGAAAGAGAGCGTTCCCGTGTTTGTCCGGCTTTATCGTCCGGCGTGGACATCCGTCGTCCGAGTAATTGGCGCTCACTATCATTAGCGCTTATTGAGTCGCGACGACCAATTAAGATTGTCGTTCCTGTGCTTGGCGCGCGCGCTCGCGTCCCCGTCCGCGTCTCTTTACGTCGATTCTATTTGTCGTACGGGAACACGCACGAGGACCGTCACGTCCGCACAAATTACCGCGCTCGCTGTCGTTAGCAGTGATTCGCGACGCGACGGGAGCCATCCGGACGGACGTAATTAACCGCGTTGGACAGCGCACGATTACTTTACAATCGCAACCAATAACGCGACTTTCTTCTCCCGCAACGCACCGAGAAGATTAAACTGCCACGATAACGGAGCCACGGTAACGGAGAAGACAAATTTTGCTAGAGTGGCGGATTGTTTCTTAATATGACAGCAAGAAATTCGTGGCACGAAAAAAAGAATTTTGCTGTTGTAACAAAACGTCGTTGCAACAGCGATAAAATTTAGCTGGTATAATCAAATTATTTCCTATCCATGTATTCAGCAAATAGCAATTAATATCCTCAACAAATCTTCCTGCTATCCAAACAAATTCTTCTTGCTGTCTGTTAACAAACGATTTGCTATTCTAGTAAATTAGTTTTTTCCGTGTGCGAAGCCGTGAAGAAAAAAATTGTAGCGTTGAACACTTGCAAAGAGCTCGTTAAGCATTTTTCGCGAAATCTTATTCTTCATAACTGCCGCGATTATCTTATTGACCTTCTTGAGCACCGATACAATGTTGCGTTTTTTGCTATTACTTGCAGAATCTTTTATTCTCATATATTATATGATTGGTTGTGACAAAAATTTTTTTTTCCGTGCGCGCGCGTATGTGCGTGAGTCATTGTGACAAATGTTACCGCGGATAAGAAAAAATTACCGGGAAGAATAGCGTTAGAAGGTATACAGCCGCATGCGATTACATCGTTATTTACATGGTTGCATATATGGATACGCAATTTTCTACTCTGTTGCCGACGGTAAGAGGCGAATTAGCTCGCGGATCGCTTGCCGTCGGCAGCTTTGCTGCGATCCTCCGCGAGTAATTAAATGATACGTACGTCTGCATGTTCGTCGAGATTATTTTTAATTGAATGTTGCACACCGGAGGGGGGGGAGTGATCTCCGCTTTTTTGATCGCGAATAAAACCGCCGATGGACTTTTAGCGTGACTGGTTTCTCACTTCTGTCCTATTATTGCGCAGGGAAAACGATCGCACGGGATAGGTATTTGTTGTATTCTTCGTGCAAATTATGTTTTCAGGTCGCACCCGGCAAACGGCAATCGCGTGAAAATCAAAAGTTCGTGCGATAACGCGCGTGAAAGAGAGTAAAGGATTCGTGACATATTCGTTAAATATTCATGACACTTGCTAAATATTAATTAATCTCATTAGGTTCTCTTCGCGCGTTCTTATGGGGAATAATACTTGTACAATTAGTCTAATCGGTTTATTATGCTCGCGTAATTCTCCAGTGCGAATAACAAATATCTCGATTGTAAAATGAGACACGCGATACGTATGTAACGTTCATATTGCTGGAGGAGAAAGGAGGGGTGAGAAAATTAAAAAAAATATATAATCATGGCGCAATGGTGGTCTCAAGTTGACGGTATTGTTTAATAAAAGTCTAACAAAACATTAATAACATTTGATAGCGCGAACTAAAAGTATTTTTCGAATGACTACACTTCTCATCGTCAAACAAAACCTCCTCTCATCCCGAAATAATTATTCTAATTTATTAGACCAATAATTTTTTTAGTTACTAAATTTATTCTTGTTAATTCGCGGTCTTTTTTTAAAAAATCAAGCCAACCTTATAAAAAAAATATGTCCTCAGCAAGTAACACTATTCTCCAGATATACTGCATCTTCGTTAGATTTATGTATTAGACAGAGTTAGCAGCATTAGATTGTTATTAGCCCACGTTGATATTTTGTGCGACAGGACCCACCTCTTACGTCCTCCGAGAGATCGCTTTCACAAAGGCAATTATCAACCGGCCGGTCCTAATTTCAGCTAGTTGCGAAAGATAATTTCACGATTATTCCCGTCCGATTAAATCTCGCATTCGCATGGCACGATCTCGCGTAACGTACGCGCACGTAGGCGCGATATAACTCCCGCGTGCGTAATTAAGTTGCGTCGATTACTATCTGAGGTTACGAATAATTGTTTAATTATCCTTACGTGATTAAACATCCGCGTACGCGCGCTCTCTGTGCATACCATAATCGCGGATTGTTCCCTGTTCCCCTCTCATTTTCTCGCGAAATTAATTAGTGCGTCGCGCTTTCCGCACGTCGTTCGGCACAATTCTCCAATTATCCCGTAGTAATTAAACATCGTATTTCGAACACGCCAAGATGCAACTCGCGGAAAACTCGCCTCCGCCGCGAGATCGATTCCTAGAGGACGTGCGTGATCTGATATGAATATATTCTCGTGGAAATCAAGCTCTCTATTCCGCAATTAAGTTCGTCGAAATTTCTTAACCGAGCACACTCGCAATTATCTTCCACTCAACGGATTCTTCACGGTCACCGTTCGTTTTCCCGAGGCGGTTTAAACGATTACATCGGAATCAATGACGTGTGTAATGGCAGGACGCGCAACTAACGCCGATATCTCTCTGAGTAATGAGAACCCGTCCGGCAGGCCCTTCGGATCATTCGTCATCATCAATCACGTATTTGTGCGTTTTCACGAGTCGAACGACGGACACGAGCGGGCCCCAGACGCGTTTCTAATCAAACGCGCGTGCACACGTGGAAATTGGGTTTCATTACGTGGTTGGATCGCTCCCGGTCGCCCCGGCTCTTTTGCCGCCTTCGGTCGATCGCGCTATTACAACGCTATTATTCCGACATACTGCCGACTGTGTCAGTCGGGTCATTATGATTATTTATATGCAAACGAGCCGAGTACGAAGGAGGGAAGAGAGAAAGAGCGAGACTTCCCGGGGGCGACGGTAAGTCGCAGCCGTTCAACGGCGTCGTCGACGATGACTACGAGGAGGGATACAACCACAGACGTTTGCGAAAAAGGGATAGAGAGAGAGAGAGAGAGCGAAGGTTAAGCAAATAAAATCCAATTAAGGCTGGCGAACTTGCCCTCAGGCCCGGAAGGAAAGTCCTGATTGTAATGGAGCCTGTCGGCGGGCTAGTGCTCCATTACGCGCGATACCTTGTTATAAACGCAGTCAAATTAAACCCGCTGCCGCCGCGGCGACGTGACGGACGTTTATGGCGGGCAAGAAATCCCGAATAATCGCGGGGCCGGGTCGTAAATCAACGGGACGTGAATGTCGGACCGGCGTCGTCGCGTTGTTGCTTCGATTAGCAACAAAGTAGCCCCTCTCTTTGTTTTCTCCCGAGGCGTTTGTCGCGTGTGAGAGTGATCGATCGACTTTTTATCGATGAAAACTCTCGCGAGAGATCCTTCGCACAAGCACGAGGTAACGTCAGCGCGCTACCGTGCCGGGGCCCGCTGCGCGCGGTCTCTATAGAGACGTAATAGGGTTGTATCTGCGATCGGGTCGTTCATCAACGCTGACGCGTCACGCACGCAGGTACGCGCGAGCACGCAGCAGACCAGCGATCGAATCGCTTACGCATCGCCGAAGTCGCTTAACCCTTTCAAGGCTGTTAGCATTGGTAATCGTCTATACGGCGTGATCATGATGGCCGGCGCGGTTGCTTCGTTCATTCACGCGAATAACGAAGAGAAGGAGGTTGCGTTCTCTCGATGCGTTTTCAGCATTTCTCGAAAGTCGCTTTCCACTGCTTCACCGCGCGCGGGGAAACGGCTATTTACGGTGGCGTGTATTTTCCCTAATGAGTGGCGCAATGAACGGTCGGAGATATGTGCGTCGATCCATTCGCGTTGTGCGGGTTGTTACGATGGGAAATTCTTCGCGATTGTTTACGCACATGAGACGTACGTGGGACTTCGCCGTTGAAAGCGGGTAGCGCAGATTGAAATTTTAGCACCCGACTGACAAATTGTCGTGGGGGAAGGTCACGTCGACTCGTTGTAATAATTCAATTATGGAAAAAATATTCTCCATACCTCCGGAGGAAGGACGCTTGACTAATGCTAATTTCTTTCCGCTCGCTGTCTTGAGAATTATTCGTCTCGTCGGGAGACTGATATGCTGTTCGCAATGACGAACAATGCTCCGTAGCAAGATAATGACGATAAGACACATGTATGTTTGCACGCATTATCATACATGACCACTGTTTACAGTGAAGAGCTCGACAACAGGCGAACGTTGGAAACTGCTTGACCTCACAACCTATCGTCGTCGCGATGTCATTGATAGAAAAATATTTAGATTCATCTTTAACCGTCGAGAAAATAATAAACGTGGTGATTTCAACTCCCCCTTCTGTCACCACTTGGTAAACATCAACTAACATCACGTCAATTTCCCACTAGCAAATATTACACACGACTATCGCATTGTCGAGTAGAAAATTGATGTAACGTTGCTGAATAGTTGGTGTTTATCGGAAGATAAATGGATGCTATAAAAAAATGCCGTTTCCTCGGCTGGATCAAAGTTATCGCACCCACCAAATGTTATTGCTCTCGGAATAACAACTGTTAAACCTCAGACTGCGAGAGTCCGTGTATAATCGTGAGCTTCGCGAAGATGGACACCTTGTGCACACGCGACCACTCGAACCGGCACGCACGTGAAATCGCTCTCTCCCCATCCTACGTACCCCCAACGGGTAATCGGGCCACTAACCTTGGTGCGTCGACAGGGTTACTTCCAGCGATGTCCCCTCGTTCCTCCCGAAAACTCCGCCTTCGTTCGCCCCGAGTTCCGTGACACCTTATCCGCTGCTCACCGGGAGAGATCACCCGCGTCGCCGATCGGCCTTCTGTGCCAGCCCCCTCGCGTACCCGGTGCGTGCCCCGAAAAGGACCGGGGGAGAAGAAGGAGGGTGGAACGAGAGCGGCCGAGTGAGAAGAAGGGAGGCACAACACGGGGGGGAAAATAAGAAGAGTCGCGGTCGCCACGTCGTGCCGCGTCGCGCCGTCGCTTCTTCTTCTCGGACCCGGGAACGAGCAAACGAGCAAACGAGCGAGCGAGAGGCGTACGTCGCGGCTGCGCGAACCGGTGTGTGGGGCCGCTCCAACCGGCCTGGACGGAAGAGCCGTCGGAGAGAGGTGATTCTCCTCCCCACCGGCGGCCCAACTTTCGAATGGTGCGCGCGGCTACGTCTGGTCTGGTTCCCCGGGTCGAGCGGGGGTCTCCTCGTACGCCCTCCGTTCGTCGGTCCGCCTCGAACATGAAGTAACCGCCAATCGAGGCAACCGGCGGACTCGCCAATCCAGAATAAACTCGGGCTGCTCTCCCCGCTTCTCTCAGCAGAGCGGAAGAAACGGATATACAAGAGAGAAGGAAAGAGAGGGAGAGAGTGGGTGAAGCTGTTGGAGAGACTCGGCCGAGCATCAACGCGAGAGGGGGATGCAGAGGAGGGTGGGTGAAACGGCGCTGCTTAAAATGGCAACTTCGGTGCCTCGAGACGGAGAGAGCTAGACTCTCGCGGTTTTATGGGCCCGATAGCGATCGCGCCGGTAACCATGTTAGACGCGACGATAAGAATGTTGGCGAGTGTGGAGGGGCGGAATGGGAACACGATGGGCTTTTCCAAATCGCGGCACGTTTCACACACAAATAATTCGCCATACAAGTAATAACGCCCGCCGCAGCAAGACCCGTCGGTCAATATGTGGACAGCAAAACGATCCGTTAAGAATGCCATGATGAGAAATGAGTTTGGTTGGATCTTTCTACCTGTAGGCAACCAAACGCGTTTCGATTGAAGGGAACAAAACTTCCCATCAACCAAACTGGGCGATACGAACACTTTGCGCGAGTAATAATGTACAAATGTATGCCATCTCGTCGGATAGAAATAGCGCATCAGCTACTCATATAAATTTATATGATACACCCCGGAGGGCGAAAGTGGAGGAGAACAAAAAGTCCATCCACCTGGACGCGCGTGCGATTAGCGGCGGACAATCCGAACGAGAGAAGCGAGGCAATTTTACTCATCATCGTGATAGACACTTCATTAAACGGTCTTAATGATCCGTAAACGTTGCACTTTCTCCAATCCGGCCCGTATATATCGCGTCGATAAGCAGCCGCGGCGTAAAAATTACAGTATTCATCGCGCGTTCCCTGGACTGTCCAATTGCATCATCCGGCGATCTTGCCTACCAAGAGAAGCGCGCGCAATACGTGCAATGCAACCTTGTCCGCTGAATTGTTTTCCTTCGAGAAAACAGATCCCTTTCTTTAGAATTCCGAATATACCCCGGTATATTTTGGACTCCGAGCCTTGGACGGTCTATCGAAACGTAATCCATGCGCTAGTTAATTTTCTCTGTCGCTCGCTTACGAGCAACATCACCCAACGTATACTAACAATGCGTCAAATTGGGAGCGCTGCTCGGTAAGTACTGAAATTCCACGACGGTGTAACGAGCGACGCGGCCCGTCGGACGGCGCGGCGCGCGCGTCCCGATTGATAAACGATACAGACACGGGCGCAGCGCGATTTATTTTTATTCAGGAGAGCGAGAGAAAAAGTCATAGAGAGAGAGAGAGAGAGTGCCGGGGAGTTATAAACGAGCCTGCCACGTCCGTGGATCCGTTAAGCGATGCGATGCGCCGCGCCGGCGAAGCGCCGAAGGAAGGAAGGAGTTGGTGAGAAACTCGAACCGTCGTCGAAACTGCCGATCATCGGCACCGTCCTGCTCGCTCGCAGATGCTTCATTAGCCACGCCTCGGCCTCGGTAAACGCGCACTCGGTTAAGCTGATTTATCGCAGAAAATCCAGTTAGCGGGAATTCGTTCCCGTGCCGTGCAGTGTTATACGCCGGCTGTCACGTGTGACATTCATCGGATTCTCAGCACGGAAATGACCGCTTCCATTATCGAGCCCAATATTGATATTGAAAAGTACGTTCGGTTGTCTACCCAACGAAAACGCATTTTTTAATATACCCTTCTTGATAACATAGTCTCTTCGCTAAGTTTCTTCGGATAAAATTCCATTCGGAAAGTGGACTTGCGGCCGATCACTCGAATTCGAGTGACTTTTCCCTCATATAGAGTGAATTGTTTCATTCTGAATTATCGAGTATCTTTATGCGGAATTAAAGAATGAATTCCAAGTACAGGGAATTTCATGTACAATGAAGAAGAAAGGTAGAATATTTTCATCTCGGTGAATTTCAGAACGCATCCGGCGTGTTTGAAAGAAAAATTTATTTTCTGAGAGTCACGCACACACACTTCTCTAATTACATACGAAAAAGTTCATCGAGAGAAAAATGCAGTTGCAGTTTTTCTTCCACTGATTATATAACCATGCATATATACACACTTCATCGGCACAAATTCACCCTAATATATTGAAGAAACGTTCATTCGTATAAATGAAGAGCCCACTTTATGATTGCAATGAAACATTCACTCTCGCGATTCCGAATGGCAGTATTTTCACCGTCGAATGACTCACCACTCGTTTTGAATGAGAGATTTCACTCCTCAGGACTCAAGAGAACATGAGCGATTAAGGAGAGTAATCTCGCGATCTCTCGCTTAGAAAGGGCTAGATCAGAAATCAAACGACCAAGCATACTCGAGCATTAGGTAAAACCGTGAATATACTCCCCGGGCGTTTCTCTCAGCGTTAACTCGACGGCTCGTCGTTACGCCGGTAAACGTTAAGCGCGCACGACCGATCGGCGATTAGAGGCGTACGGGCGCACGAGATATCGATGATGTGGCGAAATAAGTAGCCCCGAGAGGATCATCGACCGTCCGTGTCTCGATAATTACGACTACCCCATGCCGCGAGCTTATCTTCGGGGCCCCTCCGCTTCCCAAGGCCCGCGGGAAGGCCCGCTTATCCTCCGGGGCCCGTCTCTGTATCTGATCGCGATGATCGATTGCCGCTACCGACTCTCGAAATTACATACGCTTAACCGCGGCTACAAATAATTATCCGTGCGCGCTACTTTCCGATCCTCCCGCGCGATTCTCTCCAACCGCCCCCGGTACCACCATGCTCTCTCTCTCTCGAAAGCGCTCGGCGGTATCTCCCGATCGCATCATTGTAAATAATAAATTATCGGTGCCCGCTCGGCACACCGGTAAACATGTAAATTAAGGCGTATTGCCGGGACTGTAATTTCGCGAATCGCTTTTCAGCATTAAGGACCGCCGCCGTTTTCCCCGCTCGCGCGTCTCGAATTTACGTAATTTCTTCATCTCGCGAGGTGCTCCCGTATTCCGTGCTCCGGTGCCAGAAAATTATTGTACTTAGCGAAGCGCGCTGCTCTAACGGTGCTACCTGCGAGTATACCTTACGTAATTATATTATAAAGCGCAGGCAAATATGCCCGCGTATAGCGAGACGACACTCGCAATAACTCTCCGAAAAATTCATTACCCTCGTCTCCGACGGTTCGTTTTTCTTTTTCCGGTTACTCGCGCCGAGAATGCCACCGGCAAGATAAAATTGTATTACAGGAAATTACGTTGGCCTGCCTCCCCCTCCGCCCGATACACCACCATAATTAATGCCGATATAGCCGCATCGCGGGAGCGCGCTGCGCATTTACTAAATTGCGCGCGTGATAAGGCACGCGTATCGTTAAAGAGATACGTGCGCCCAAATAAAATTTAAATATCGAAATAAAGCGTGCTCGGATCGCGTTAAAGCCTCAATAAAACGTGCATTTCGCATCTCATGTCGCATCGCATTGAAATGTTAAAACACGATTAAAACGATTCTTTTATAGATTTCGGACGAAAGTCGACACATTTCTGGAAGTTTGTAATAACTCGGCTCATGAAGCGCATATGGGATCAAAATGGTTTTCTCATGTAATTGGACCCCGAGAAATCGATTAAACCCGCTCAGAAGCCAGTCGAATTATCGCGGCGATATAATCTCGCCTTCGCTCAGCCAGAGCTCAGCTTCGCATAAAAACACACGTCTCGTATGTCGTTGTGATGAGGTTGCTCCGGTAGTTCACCTCAGCCATAATTGCGAGCCGAACTGCCGGAGGAAAACCCTAACCATAGTTGCCTAACATCCCTCTTCCTTCCCATACCATCGGTTGGCCGCGTCAACACGGAGGATCGCGATTAAACTGTGACAGCTGCGAACTTGTCGCGGTTCCATATTAGTCTTAGACTTTGGGACTCTCACGGTCCGCTCACCTCGCCCGTCCATTCGTTTATCACGGAATTGTTCTTGCCGCCGTTCTCTCTCTTTCCCGATACACAGGAAGGGAAACGTCACGATGATGTCATTAGCCTGGGCCACGCCCCCTACGGCGCTACTCCATTACGCCGAATCATCGATCGGATGAGATCGCGCGGACTCGGTAACGTCGTCTACGGAGAGAGCATCGCACGCTGCGCCGCTCTCGAGGTGTAAGAACGCTCGCAGTTAATTCGGGGACCTCCGGCCGCTGCAGTGTGCGCTCGCTAACGTCCGCTGACCTTTATAAGTGCTTAATTAAATGAGGCTTTTTGCGCGCGCGAACCTGACTCATGCGCCCCTTTCGACTCGGTATATTATAATAGCGCCGTTAAGATCATAATTTAGCGTAATACGCGTCGAAGAGAGAGAGAGGGGTCACTCGACCTGGGGCTCGATAATGCTCGTTTGTACCTTGGAAAATCGTCGCTCCTAATCAGCGAAGATAAACGATGAGTAAAAGCGCGAGATTCCTAAATACACGCAACGTAAAGCGATTCAACGGAAATCCTCTTAGCCTTCCTGAGAGCCGTTAAGC